TAAAAGCAATTAAAAGTATTATAGTTAGATGAGTATTAAATATTAATACAATTAAAAAATAACGACGACATTTCCAAAAACTTGACGATCAGCAAATTTCGATCACAAGTGCAGCAAAACATTGTTTTCACTTTTCAATGAAGAAAAAGGCCCCATAATACTAAGTGACAACACCTTGGCATCCAACCCATAGTGGTGGCAATGGCTCGGCTCGGCCCTTAATCTCACGAGCTTAGCTCGTGCTCGTGGCTCGTTTTCAACGAGCCGAGCTCAGGCTCGGCTCGTTGAATTTGGACGAGCTTTGGCTTGTGGGCTCGTCCAATCTTTTTTTTAAAGAGTTTTACAAATAAATAAAATAATAGAAAACACTTTTAAAAAAATAAAAAGTGTTAAAAAATACAAATAATTTAACGAAAATAATTTTTTATTTTTTTATTTATATCATATTGTAATAATTTTTATAAAGTATAAAATATTTATATAATGAAGACGAATTATTTTTTGAAATACATTTGCAAAAAATATATATTTTTGATTTCTTTTTAAAGTAGATAAAATGTAAACCCTCCTCCTTTATCCAAGTTTGGGACCGGCTATATCAATTTTAAGTAGGCGGAGTTAAAAAGTGTACACGAACAATTTGTTGTAACGTGTACAATTTTTTTAAGAAAATTAAATTTAACGATTAAAAAATAAAGAAATTTTGATTAATATAGTTAAATCAAATATTACTTACCTGACGACATGCAATTTCAGCGTATTTATCTTGTAGTCGAAAATGAGCGTCCTGTCAATCATTCACGCACATTAACGCTTCCAAAACATCTTCTTTTAGTTGGCTCTGACATCGGTCAAAACACTTTTACCTGCACTAAAAGCAGACTCTAAAACAACAGTGCTAATCGGAGGTGTCAGCAGATCTTTCGCAATTGCAGAAACAATTGGCCAACGTCTTTTATACTTTCGCCATAATTCAATTACTTCGTCTGAACTTTTTTTTAGTTGTTTTGTCTGTTTGCATATTATGATTGAAGTAATCAATTAATTCGGCAGACATCGCATTTTGGGTTTCGACCAATGTTTGATAAGATGCAAATGTAAACGACATGACACTAGATGAACACATTGCAGTTGCATCATATCTAAATGTATTAATACCTTGTAATAAATTCATTATTTTGGCATCATCTTCTTCAATTTCAGTAGAAGGAGTATGTGCAGAGGGTACCCAACTAACATTCACACCCGTTCTTTTCGCATATAAATCATACATTCCACATAATGTTTGCTCTAAATTCTTATAGGTGATAGATGTATCAAGTATTAAAGCCTTATTAGTTTGATCAATTAAGTATTTAATTCCCAAAATGTTATATCGAGGGTCCATTGCGCATGTTAAAGGAAATAACATAGACAATTCTTCCCAATATTTTCTAAACTTTAATTCCATAGCAATTATAATTTCACTAGAAGTAGGATCATTTTTATATTTATGGATTGTTCTTGCAATTAATAAAGGCGTTCAAACACCATACAGTTTGTGGGATAATAAACGCCGAATAAAATCTTTGTGGTCTCATAAAAAGATGTCAAAAATCGTTTAACTTTCAAAGCTAAAATCCAATCGGATTCATTTATCATACCATCATCATTACTTCTAATGTGTCTATTGTTATAAAAGTCAGTTATTAAATTTTCGAAACATTCACATGACTTTAATATAAAGTAAGTAGAGTTTCATCTATGGCCTACATCGCTAACAAATGTTTTAGCAGTCTTCACCTCTAGTTCGGCACAAAAATTTTCAAATGCTTATTTTCTACTATAAGAGATCGTAATATATACTAATGTATTCCTAATCCTTTGAAGTTCATCCTTTATATGTTTTAAACCATCTTGCACAATTAAATTCAAGATATGACACACACAACGAATATGAAACAAATACCCTCCAAAATCAGGTTGAAGTGTTTTACACAATTTATCGACGATTACCTTATTAACACTAGCATTATCAAAAGTAAAAATTTGAATTTTAGTCTCGCAATGATATTCTCTAACAATACTGATAATAGCATTATTTATATTATTAGCATTGTGAGGAAATTCAATAATTCTAAAAGCAATAATATTCTTATGCATGCACCAAAGGGGGTCTATATAGTGTTCGATTACAGCTATATATGCTCTTTTATTAACATCTTCCCATATATCAGAAGTTAAAGATATAACACTCCTATAGTGTTGCAAATTCATAATTAATTGTTGTTTTGAATTATTGAAATATTGTATTATATCGACACGAAGAGTGTTTCGACTTACCCCAACGTACCTCGGTTGTAGATATTCTTTCACGAACGAGACGAAGTGTTAGTTGTCTGCAATAGTCAGAGGCAACTCAGTGGCGGCAACAAACTTCACCATTCCGGTTCGAGTATTGTCCTCCGAATATACCCACGCGGAAAGGGGTGAAGTTGTAGAACCGGCGCCTGGATTGCCAAATTGCAATTGTGTTTGACCAGCTGGAAGAAGTACATGTCTGGCCGCACATGCTTTATAGTGACAGTTGAGATGGGTGATACCAATTCCTTTTTGCTATGCCAATCTTTGTTGGCAGTATTTACATACTGCTTTAGTTCTGTAAGGCCATCGACGACTTTTTCCGTTGAAATAAACTTAAAGTGATCCCAACATTTTGCTCTTTTTTTGGCCTTTCGCTTTCCCCTCGCATCTGTGATGTTTAATTCGGCATCTTCATCCTCATGTTCCGCTTCGAGAACGTTAATATCATCCAAATCAATTGGATTGTAGCTTCCCCGATCGTGAATGTGTAAATCTTCAGGTATCGGTATGTCATTTAGACCAATAAATTCATTTAGAAATTGACTTTGCGGCTTCATAGGCTATTCACCATGATGTGGCCCACATCCTGTATCGAATAAGTTCTCAACAAATGAGTGTTGATCAATTTGTTTAATTGTTTATGATGAAATCTTAACTAGAAGAATATAAATGTAGTGAGATTGTGAGAATTGAGAATTGGAAAAATAGAAATTGTAACTAATAAACTGTAAAAATTGAATTGATATTGTATATTTTGCAGCACGAGAGAGTAAAAACTCGATAATTGATATAATAAAAGAGAGTTGAGAGAGTTGAAGTAGAAATTGATATGAAAAAAATATAAAAATGGGTTATAGGGTATTTATAGTAGAAGGGATGGGGGAATTTTTAAAAAAATAATATCAGTGACCGGAACGGTCACCGAAAAAGTGACCAAAACGGTCATTTTTTTAAAAAAGTGACAGTTTTGGTCACTTTAATTACGGGCTCACGACGAGCCACAAGCCACGAGCGGCTCGCCTCTTGACGAGGCCCGCTCAGCTCGTGCTTGGGCTCGTGATTTTACGAGTCCGAGCTGCCCACGAGCTCCATTTTCACGAGTCGAGTAGTCGAGCCGCTTTTGACATCCCTACCCATCCATGTTTTTTCTATTACACTTTTTCTTGCAGGCCATCATCTTTGGATTGGCAATTTGAATTGAAAGGAGATTCCTGCCTTTATTTGCATAATCTGCTTTTAGTTCTACATATGAGCTCCTATTTATAATATGCTTCTAAAAATAGAACAACGTAAGTTTTTTAAAATCTGCTTTTAAAACAGAGCAACATAAGTTTTTTCTAGCAATCAATTATTTATTCTTTATGGATTATCACACAAACCATCTCAAAAAAAGAAAGTAAAAATATGATTAATTCCACCAACTCATTATCATAAATAAGAAGCACAAACAACAAAATCCAACAAATTTTTCAAAATCTGAAATTAGATATGAAAAAAAAAAACCCATCATATTATTCGAAACCTATAGAATATGAAACAAAAAAAAACCAAAAAAATAAAATAAAATCTTCTTCCTAAATTAATTGCAATTTCAGAGGAACATATAAAATTTTATGGAAAAAAAATGAAACACAATGAAAAAAATCAAAGTGATTAAACTAAAACCTAATAATATTGAAGCTTAAACCTTTGAATGTTGAACTTGAAAGTTGAAACCAATATGCAGACGGCAAGACCGAGACGAGAGAGGCACATGGAAGTTGGAAGGTGAAGGAATTGTGAGAAACCAGGTTCTGTCCATTTGGGAATGAGATTTTTGCCTTTAAAAAATTAATTTTGACCCTTTAAACGATGGCGGGTCACAAAAAATCCGGCCGGTTTGACGGTTTTTAGGGAGGGTTTTTAATTAGAGGGTCTAATATGTTAACTGGACTGGATTTGGGCTCGGTTCCCGATTTTTCCAGTTGAACCGGCCGGTCCGATCCGATTTTTAAAACATTGGTTATAAACTAAAACATAAGCCCCATTTGGACTCCATTATTTGAAATTAGGGACGGAGCCATGAAGGGTCCAATGCGGGCATGCGAACCTTGGCACATTTCCTTTAAAATTTCGGCGCTCACAAACAGTGGCAGAGATGTTGGAAATTTACAAGGAAGGGATGAGGGATGGCGTTTGGAAATATATAAATTGTTTTATTAACCAATTTTACTTTATGATCCCATTAAAATTTCTATATTACAATATACGAAATCTTTCTTTTTGGAACCATAACTGAAAATTTCAAGAGGCAAAGAAAATGATGATATTAACTCCATATGCAAAATATATGGAGATACAAATTCAAATAGCAATAATTATCGCATTGCAATTAAAGTTGCAATTGGGATTAATCATAATCTCTAATTGTTAAAGAGAGGTTGCCATAAGGTCTTCGCTGTTGTTCAATCCGAAATTTGATTCATCAGAATTATATTTCATATTTTTCTTTTATAGAGATTACATGTAATTGTATCAATTTCTAATATATCCTAACTAATGCAACACAAACTAAGTCAATTTATTTCTGTTTTTTGTAAACCAATTTATTGGAAAGTTAGGTATTGAGTGCGGATTTAGTCAATATCACAAGTTTCATTTTGTCCATAATCCATTTGCTAAAAATTTTAATTATACGAACTCATATCACGAGTTGAAATTGAACTAACATGAGCATATGAATTCTGTAATGTTTATTAGTTCTTCATTTTGTTGCACCCGGAGCTATGAGTTGAACTTATATGACCATCCCACTTATATAAATGAATGAAGCTTAATATAAATGTAATATAGTTGACGATGTCCATCTTTGAATAAATTGTGCTATTCATAAATTGAAAAATTTAGGATTTTACTACTTATTCACTATGGTGATGTACTGTATTGGTTTACATGTGATTAAAAATATAGTTAAGATTATTGTTTTTTTAACTAATTACCAACTCTTGTAACACCAACGTTCACGAATTCATATATGTGATCATGTTTATATTCCATTTATGATATATCTTCTATCTATTGTCTTGTTGGATCTATGTACCTACGTACTATTCCATTTATGATATATATTCTACTTTCTGTCTTGTTGCAGTAATGGGCTACTGAACTTTTTGATTGCACATACTAGTTGGATGCAAGTGTTTTCGCCTCTATTAGGACTTACACGAACGAGATAAAAATTTGGAACCTTTGATTGAAGTATGGATGTTGATTTCCTAGCACGATATATATATATATATATATATATTAATAAAGCTACAAATTTGATAGATTCCTTCTAACGATTCAAGATGATGGTTGATTTTAGGAATTTTTTTAGTAAATAGAAAGACCGTGATTGGAGTTTTCTTTTGGCAAATCAAGCAGATGATTTGGGATGTGTTTGATGGAGTGATTGATGTCAATGAATATATTAATTGATGAGAGATGTATTTTTTCAGTTATCATTTTTACTATAAAAAAAAGCATTATTTTTTGTATAAATAATGAGCTTGTTTGGTATATATTTTAAGTCAACTAAAATCAATTTGTTGACCATTATTTTACTATTTCAACAATTATTTTTGAATTATTCTCTCACGGGTAGGATCCACTTTATTTCTAATGATCAAAAATCAATTTTCAAAATCCCTATCAAAGAAACACAATATCTAAGAGTCAAACATGGATTTAAATAAAAAACGATGCACTTGGTGAAATTTCCATTTTCTTTTAATTGCGGGCCTTTTCTTTTGGGCTCTTGTGTGTGTGTGTGCTTTTTTTCTTTTTCTTTTTTTTAAGGGTTAGCCCAATTCTTTTTGGGCAATGGACAGCCGGCTGCTTGGTTAGTTCATCATTTTAACCATTTTCCATTCTTTCTTCCAAATTTTCGTCCAAATATGCGTGTGCTTTTTTTCTTTTTCTTTTTTTTAAGGGTTAGCCCAATTCTTTTTGGGCAATGGACAGCCGGCTGCTTGGTTAGTTCATAGTCGGTTTAATGGTTTGTAATTGCTTCACAATTCAATTCGGAAATCCAATAACAAATCCTTATCCAATCAAATTCCAAACCCTCGCTTCCCTGCACGCTCAGTCCCTATCAATTATCGCCATGTGACCTGCTACCGCCTATCATTGCCGCCACCACTCGTCGATAAAATTTGTGGTAAGTGTTAATCTCTCTCTTGTCTTGTGTATTTTTATACATGCGCATGTGACAATTGTTAATTAATTAGGCAACTCAGATTTTTGTTCAAGTTTTTTATTTTGGGGATCTAATTTTGCATAATTGCATTTTCCTTTATATTTTTGAATATACTGCTGTCATTTGTCAATGTTGAATATTTTTTTATTTATTTTGCTCTTTGTGGATATGTCAATGCTGGAATATTTGTAGATGTTCGTACCACTAGTGTCTTTGTACTTGTTTGAGTGAATATTTCCTAGTTTTGTGATTTCTTTTTGTTATTAAACTAGCCTTTGCTTGTGCAATGCACATGTTACGTTATTTTAAAGGTAACGTAACCATGTTAATTGTTAAAAATTAATGAAAGATATGTTTACTAATTGGATAAAGGCTAAGGTGTTGTATTTTAGACAATAGAAAAAAACAAGTATACAGCATCAAAATGTAATGAAATATGCTGAGTTTGTAAGAGGTCAAATCCCTGATCTATGGAGATATTTGTCTACATTCTTCCAATTGTTTTGCCCTCTGCAAAGTGATATCATATTGTTTCTTATGAAGTGGAGTAACATGGTTTCCAGGAATCCAAGTTGAAGAACTATGCTTGCATCTTCCAAGTGGCATAGTAGGAGGAGATCATTTTTGGCCATGCAATTCAAAATTGTAGGAACCCCAAATACGTAGGAGATTATGAAACAAAATGGGATTAACAAATACATGAATCCTACTCCATGCTGTCCCTAATAAAACAATTAATTGTATCAACATAATTATAGTAGAATCAACTTTAAAAGAAAACTAAAGAAAAAATAACATTTGTAATGGAACTTCAGGCATAATAAGACAATATCATTATCTCCTGTCCATCATAATTTCACTAATTTGTTTATCTTTAGCATTTTTCCGAAGCATTTCCTATTAATCGGATAAGCAGTCACATGAATCTGCCTCAAACTAAAAACTGAGCGTCGTATGCTGTCTAGTATTGACATCTTCATAGTTTCGCACTCATTCACATACTTGTACATTTGAAAAGAATGAAATATAAAATTCAAATAAAAACAATAATAATATTAGCATTTTTAAAATGTCTTCAAAATGTTTTGGGCAAAAATAACACACAAGCTGACAACTGTAGTAATAATACCGACTTCTTTAACCGAACAAAGCATATTAAATTGAACTTCATCAAGACTGAATCCATAATCTTCACTTATAACATGCATAAATCATGATGAGTTGCTACTAAAAGAAAGTAACATTTGCAATTTAAATTATAGGAGCTCATCTAACCACTTCACCAATAAAAATTGCAAGATCCTCTAAATTTGTTCTCCTGTTATCCCCAAATTTAGGAGGTTTGACAGCACAATCCTACAATGGCCATGAAATAGAATGTGAACCCTAAGATAAATGTGACATATGGTATTGGCACTTGGTAGTAGCACATCCAACAGAAATCAAAAAGTTCTATCATATCTTCCTATACAAAAATAAAACTGCACTATATGAAATTATAAATGGCTCTTAAATTACCTGAAGTCGAACTTCAATAAAATATGCAAGTCTTATTTCTTTTACTTAAAATTGTTTCCCACCAAAGCAGAATATGAAGCTCCAAAGAAAGACGTACCTTTACATTTCAAAAAAAAAATTGTTACAGTTTTCTCGTAGCCAGCTTTTTGAGATGGAAATTCATCCATTTGAGCAAGACGTTCTCTGGAGCTAGTCCTATAAGCTCTTCAATATCTGGAAATAATCCAATCATCTGTTTAAGTTTTACCTATTGGGCTAAATTCGAACTTGCACCTATGGTAAGGATAAAAAGTGACACTGTAAATTTATCAAGATTTGAAGAGATATCTTGTTAATTACGTTGTTGTTTTCTCCGATTGTACAAACTGGGGTGTCTTTTCGAGGTTGAGATCTGCCAGTATTCGAATTTGAAGGGCCACCAACAAATGCAATCCAAATTTAAGAGATCAAAAAAAGGTCAACGCGAATAACTAAACTTACTTAACAATGTACATCAACATATAAAGCAATACTCATATTTCCACTTCTTTTCTCCTTTCTTTGCTATAAAGAAGTTATAAAATGTAATAAAGACTAAGGGTACTAACCTTTATAATTTGAGAAATTAACTCAAGTAGCAAATGTAGCAAATGAGTTTAAAAAGAATGAGAGATTTATAAATATTTGACAGCCAAATAATATAAATACTCTGCATTCTTATCAGTAAATTTGTTGGATTCACTATTTCTTCAATAATTTTTTGTTTGATTTAAAATTCTTTTTAAGCCTTTTCATTTTATTGTAAAACGTAATTTTTTCAATTTTAATTAAATAATGTTTATTTTAAATTTTAGTTATTTCAATTTAATTTAAAAAATTTATAATAACTTTTTTTTCCATTTCCTTTTTTTTTATCCCTTTTTACCTGCATTTACAGTACAAAACGATATCGTTTCCAACATTGAATGGCAAAACGATGCTATTTTATTCTATTAATATGATAAATGATTGAATATATCTTATATATAATTATAAAAAAATATTAATTATTTAATTAATCTTGATCAATGTATGTTATATTT